AATGCTTATCTTAGGCTTTTGAAAATTGTCATATGGGGTTATTGACTATAAGTCGAATATAAATTTAAAAAGAAGGCTCAATTTCAACCCAAGAATAAAATGGCCATAGAGTATTGAGAAAGACTACCTATCTACTTTTTCTTGGGAAGTTTTGGAAGATAAGTTATGACTGTCTTTAGAATTGATTTCCTATGGTAGTGTGATACCCAACTACATAACATGGAAATACTCATTCTGTACTTTAAAGATTTTGTTTGTTTGTTTGTTTGCTTTACAGAGGGGGGTGGGGCAAGGGGCACAGGGAGAGGGACAAGCATACTCTGCACTGAGCATGGAGCCCTCAGTCTCACAACCCTGAGATCATGACCCGAGCCAAAATCAAGAGTCAGATGCTTAACTGACTGAGCCCCCAGGTGCCCCTCATTCTGTACTTTCAAATATCCTCAAACCTTGTTCTGTAATTTTATTGATTTAAGTTTTAGAGTCAAGAAGATAGTTCTAGAAGTTCTTCATAGATAACCATACTCCTGGAGTACATGATATGTTCTATTTCCTCTTTCTCTTTGGTGGGAACCAGTCCCAGTAAGCTTGCACACGCTTTGTATACTTGACATTAACTCATAGGCTGCTAAATATTGACTAACCCAACTCATATCACTATGAAGAATCTGTCTTAATCTTTTAAATAATGTTATTGTGTCCTTTGCTGTTAGAGGTTAAAGTATAGGCGGTAGGGTCAGACTGCCTGCACTGGAATCCTAATTCTAATACCACTTCCGTTTTCCCATCTGTAAAATGACAATAATATTTGAACCTACTCAATAGGGTAATTTTGAGAATGAAGTAAAATGATATATGTAAAACACATAGAGTCCTAGTTTATTTGAAGCACTTGATGGTTCACATTATTAGTTTTATCTTTACTCTTTATTTTATAACTGTGCAGTAGCTAACCCTGGTTATGCATAATAGAAAGAAAGCTCTTTCTCTGCTCTTTCTCAAACATAAAAATACTGAGTTATGGCACCATGTTTGTGTTTGTTCAATAAGTATTTATTTAGCATCCAGGCTGGGTGAGAAACCTCACAGAGAATAACAGAACTACCCTGATGACTCATACACAACTTGTATATGATTCCCATATGTTTTCTGCCAGATGTCGTTTTCATTCTGCACACATAAGTATATTAAAAAATCTACTGAATACCTGTTCAAGAAATTGTGGTAGGCATTGTCTAGGAATCAGAGTTGAAAGAGAAAGCATCTGTCCTTGGAGATAATATTTATATCATGAGAAAAGACATAGATAATTCAATAAAAATACAATAGCTCTCAAAATCATTATAGTATTAATTGGCCCATCAGTGTTGTAGAAAATACAAGCTTTATATCCAGAAGAAAAAAAAAGATAATGGTGGATTACAAAGGTTTTGGTATTTTGCTCTTTGTATTCATGATAATACCTTACCACTGATTTTTAAGGATGATTATTTTGTTTTATAAAATAATACAGGTTTACTACAGAAATATAAGCAATATGGGAAGAGTTTTTAATTTTTTATTTATTTACTTTTATTTCTTAAGATTTTATTTACTTACTTGACAGAACAAGAGAGCACAAGCAGTGGGGAGGGGCAGAGGGAGAGGGAGAAGCAGACTCCCCGCTGAGCAGGGAGCCCAACATGGGGCTGGGCTGGATCCCAGGACCCTGACATGACCTGAGTTGGAGGCAGATGCTTAACTGACTGAGCTACCCAGGTGCCCCTGGAAGAGTTTTTTAAAAAGAAAGCAATATATCTCTCACAGTCCTATCTTTCATGAATAACTGTTGCTAACAATCAATAAAATTATTTTAAGCAGATGCTCACGGAGTGATTGTTTAAAAATGAGATTATATTCTACATGCTATTTTTAAATAAATTAATATAAAGTAAAATTGAAAGATGTTAATTTTCAGATAAAAATCTTTACTTGGAATACTCTCTAAATTATTATTGTTTAGGGAAAATGATACAAAAAATAGTGACAGAATGGAATCATTTTTTAAATTCATATTTCAAATTTAGGAGGTATTAAATGACTAAATTCTATGAATGATGAGATTAATATTTTGTACTATTTTTTCCTCAAATGCTCAGCTTTCCCATCCCCTGTGTACTTTTATTTCATCAAGATTTTTAACATCTGCATTTTGTAGTGCAGTCGTAATCCCCTCAATATTTTGTCTTTGTTCTGTATGTACTTGTATTCAATCTATCATGTGTTCTTTTTTCAAACTTCTTACATTTCCATTTTGTTTACTTTGGTTCTTCTATTTGTAGCCTGTATTTTCCTTTGTTATTTAAATTTTGATTATGGTTACACTTGCATATTGAACAATGATAAAACATCTGTAATGAAAACCAGCAGTCCTCTACTCTCCCGCTCACCAAAGACAATTCCATTCCCCCATAGAACCTCAAGAACCGTAGTTCTTTCAAATTTTTCCTTTTTGTTGTTCTATTCCATGTTTCGAAAAGATACATCTATACTACAGCTTCTTGATTTACTAATTCTAACTAGTATCTGTGGTTTCCTGTAATGTGCTCTGGCTCTCCCTCCCTTATAATTATCACCTATTATAACTCCCTGCTGGTCTCTAGGCCTCTTGCATAGCTGTCATCATGGATCTTTCTTCTTTCTTTTGATACTTTACTTTTTTGTTGCAGAATAATTTACACACACAATCTAAGATATACAGATAAATAAATTTTATATATATGTACTTTGTGTGACAGACATTCAGACCCAGATGGGAACATTTCCAGAATCCCGGCAGGTTCTCCCATGCCAACTTTCATTCATTAATCCTATGCCCAGATATTCTATTTGTATCACCATGGATTTTTTTTTTCTGTTTTTGAACTTCATATAAACACAATCATGCAGTATACACTCTTTTTCTTCTTTCACCCCATCTTATGTCTTTGGATTTATCCATGTTGCATGTAGCAGTGGTTCATTTTCACTGCTATACAATATTCTATAATATGAATATACTAGAAAATTATTTTTATAAGAACTTTTTTATAATTCATTCTAATCTGAGCTTGAAATTGCTCTGAAGAAATCTTTGACTAACTTAATATTTTCCTCCTCCTGGGTGACTTGCTCTTCCTTCCTGAACACATGAAGACATTTTATAATAATCATTAAACTAAGGTTAATTTAATCAAGATAGGTTTTCCCTTAACAATTTTTCTTAGAACATGATAATGCCCCATTGATACATGGAACTGGTTCCTTTTTCTTTCATATTTTAAGGATTTTTAAAGTTATATTTTAAAATGTTTTCTCTTCTACTTTAGCTTTTAGATTGTCTTCTTATTGAGTCTTTTTCTTTTTTGTCTCTTACCCAGATATATCATATTTTTCCCAATTGCTATAACATTGTTCTCTTTTCTGCATTTACTATGAAAATATCAAGCTTTTCTTTTCGTCCAGAAATTAAAATATTATCTGTGTTCAACCAGCTATTGCTTTTTCTAATTTTTATATTATCTGGGTAATGGTACTGTTTTGGCTCAACTTGTCTCCTTATCTTTTATATACTTTTAAATGATACTTTTTTTAAAAAGTTAAATAAACTTGTCTTTGAACTCTGATTTTATTTAATCTCAGGTCTTTTTATACTATAGGCAACTTTTTTGCAGTTTTTTTCTTTCCTGCTTATGATTTCTACTAGTCTCTGCATGCTATGTTACTTTCATTATTTTTATGATCATATTATTACTATTATTTGCATTAATCTCTCCCCACAACTACAAATTTATATTGTTAATCTTTTCATTTTGCTTGTATTTCTCTTAGCTCTGTTTAGGCTTTCTGTTTGCTTAATATAGTGTGGACAAATGATTCTTTAAATTCCCCTCCCTATCTTTTTTTGCTACTTTTTATTTTTCCCTTCAAGCTACAGTTTAGGTGACAAAAATCTATATTCCAGTTACTTTTTTATGACCTGAAAGAAAAGGGGAGAAGAAGTAAAGTGTCCTGGGTTGGAGGTCCTGGGCTGTAGTCCTAATGAGACCTGTTAAATGTCTGCGAGGCCCCTCTCCTCTGCCCAAGGATGCACTTGAGTTCCTGTGGGATTTGCCTGGCTTTCCTGACTCAGCTGTGAGCCCTGGCTTGCGGAGAGTCCTGACAGTCTTCCTACTTCTGCAGACATCTCGTGATTAGTTCCCGAATGGGGAAGAGATGCATAAGCACCCTGGTGGTTTTGGTGATGGGTCAAGTTTCTTTATCAGAATTGGTTATGGGGTCAGAGAGAGGTTTAGGATTAGTGTTGTCCCATCAGAACCTTTTAATTATCTCATCAGCCTGAAACTTAGTTTATGACAGAAGATAATACCCCCTTTATTTCATTTCTGCTGTTGAATTTCTTTTTTAAAATTTTTGTTTTGTTAGTATTCTGGGCATGGAAATTCTGTCACCCGTCTTTATGCAGTCATCTTTAATAAGATTGGAAAGTTTCCTTAAAGAAAATTCTCTCATATCTTCACAGAACAATCTAATTCCTTAGGTAGGGCTTATTTATTTATTTACTTTTACCGTCATTTAGTAGAAGAAGAAACAATAGCTCAAAGGAGTTAAATACTGTGATCTAGGTAAATTTTGTGGTCACTGGCACAGCTGTACCTGGTAGCCTAGCTCCTATAATCCCGCAAAATATTCTTTTTAGTTTACCATGAAACTTCTCTCTTTGGGTTGAGCATCCTGGTTCACTCTGGTACAATGAGTACAGTGTAGACTCGCACAAAGCATGAACTGTGTTGACCTTCAGGATTACTTTAATCCTGTGTGATTTCATAATGGGGATAACATGAATTATATTATTGGTCTCTGGCATAATAAAAGTAACATACTCCCTAGAGAATACATAAAAATTTTTGAGATTAATAATATAATCTGCTGTTAGCATTTCAAACATAAGAAAATTAATACACTATTTTCTCTTTTTCCAGAAAATACAAGAGACATCATAATGATATATGAAGAAGATGCTGAGGAATGGGCTCTGTACTTGACAGAAGTTTTTTTACATGTTGTGAAAAGGGAAGCAGTCCTGTTATATCGCTTGGAGAATTACTCTTTTTGGGATTTGGAATTGCTGAGCTTAAACTCTTACAAATGTAAACTTTTGATATTATCAAATGGCCTGCTTAAAGACCTAACTCCAAGGAAATGTCAGTTTCTGGAAAAGGTACTTCATTCACCAGAAAGTGTGGTTACTCTGCTGTGTGGGGTGACGAGTTCAGATCAGCTCTACAAATTACTAAATATCGCTGGAGGCAGATGGGAGATGTCTACTGAGCAGGAGCCCCAAGATTACATTGCTGTAATTGAGAGTATCATATTCAGAGGTAGTGTTGCCAAATCTTCTTTATATTTTTTTTATAATTAAGAAATCTAAAGTTCTTTTTGCACCAATGAATATTTGATATTAGGACAAAAAAGAAAAATGGAAGCCAACTCTATGTTGTATGTATGTTGCACTTTTCTCAAATGAATGAAGGTTCTTAATTTTTAGCTGTATTCCCATCAGGGCTTATCAGTTGTTTTAATAATGGTTTATAAATATATTCCTTAGGGTAGTCTGTATAAGCTCATACTTGGTAGAACAAGTGTAGTATGCTATACTATACGGCAGTTTGGTTCTAAAAGCTGGTTTCTTACTCAACTGGTAAGGCTTGAGTTAGTAGGTACCCTATTATGTTACAAGTCAGTAGGAGTCCAAGTTTGAAGGTCTGTTTTAGAATTATAAAACTTCTGTTGTGCTGATAATTGTATGATATCTATTGGGATGATATGGAATACTGTTATTTTTATTAGTTTTAAATAAAAAATTCGTTTTAATCATATAGCCACATGTCAAAGAGCAGAACACAAGGTTCCCCTTTGGTAATTAATTACAGTTCCATGTAATAATCAAAACTCTGAAGCTCTCTCATGTTAAAGTTTCTCCTTCCCCCTGTTCTGTTCTGCTTCTGCCTGGGTGTGGAGGCGGCGCTGTGTCAGCTGCATTCCTGGTTTTCTCAACCTGTGTTTAGCCTCTTATTCCCAGTGTTCTAGCTATGGCTCCCTCTCCTGCAGGGAAGAGGTGGGGTTCTTATTTTCTATTGGCCATATCAAATATGTTGCCTCCTTTTCTTGGGGCATATTTCTGGGTTCTTTGGAGTTCCCTTCATTCACTGGGATGTGTCACCTGCGGCTCCTTAATGAGACGACTGTGTCCTCTCTTGAAGCTCCTACTTGTGGTGGTCCACCCACTGTGGTTTCTTACTGTTGATATCTATGGCTCTCTCCTGTGTCACTTTTGGTAGATATCACTCTGAGATTTCCCCCAGCTGGCCTTTTCTTTCATTTGGCCCACATCTGTCTGTAAAAACATGTGTTTGTCTTTTCCCTGTCAAACTCTGGGCATGAAGGCCATTTTCAGTGTAGCCAACACCATCTTACCCTCAGCAGCAACACAGCCACAGCCTCTTGCTTTGAGTCGTTTCCGGGCACGGGTCTAGCGCAAATCTTGTTCTGTCAAACCAGAGAACATCTGTCAATCCCCGATGCTTTGCTGGAGGCCTTGTCACTGTGCTTGAAGACGGTGCCATCCATCCTTCTTCCCCAGGGGGGATGGTGGGATGCACAGCACACAAACTACTCTCTTTAAAAATCCTCTTCCTATTTTCTAGCATTCCAACCTCTTCAAATTCAGTTCTCTCTAAGCCATGTTTTACACTTATCTATTGTTGCATAACAAGTTACTCTAAAATTTAGCAATTTAAAACAGCAAATGATGATTGTATCACAGTTTCTGCAATTAAGGAATCTAGGAGCTGCTTAGCTGGGAGGTTGTGAATCAGGGTATCTTGTGAAGTTGCAGTCAAGCTGTCCAAAGGTATAGTCGTCTGAAGGCCCCACTGTCCAGTAGGGGAAGACTTACTTCCAACAGGAGTGTACATTGTTGGCAAGTTTGTTATTTTTTTATCATCTCACTGGATGAAAGTCATCTTTCATAGATTCCTGAGGAAGTCCCTTGGGAGCAACATTTCTGAAATTTTGCATGTTCAAAATTCTTGCATGTTTGTTTCTTGGAGTATAGTTGGGCTAAGGACCATTTTGCTCTTCTTTCTTCTAGCATTGTAGAATTTAGGGAATTCTTATTTACCTGGCTGAATAAATGATTCTTTTTTTTCTTTATTAACATATAATGTATTATTTGTTTCAGGGGTACAGGTCTGTGATTCATTAGTCTTACACAATTCACAGCACTCACCAAAGCACATACCCTCCCCAATGTCCATCACTCAGCCACCCCATCCCTCCCACCCCCCTCCACTCCAGCAACCTTCAGTTTGTTTCCTGAGATTAAGAGTCTCTTATGGCTTGTCTCCCTCTCTGGTTTTGTCTTATTTCATTTTTCCCTCTCTTCCTTCCCCTATTTGTTTCTCAAATCCCACATATGACTGGGATCATATGATAATTATCTTTCTCTGATTGACTTATTTCGCTTAGCATAATACCCTCTAGTTCCATCCATGTCATTGCAAATGGCAAGATTTCATATTTTTTTGTTGGCTGCATAATATTCCATTGTATATATATATACCACTCTTCTTTATCCACTCATCTGTTGATGGACATCTAGGCTCTTTCCATAGTTTGGCTACTGTGGACATTGCTGCTATAAACA